CCCGTGCCCTTCCTCAGCCACCTACAGAATAACAAAATGAAACAAGATACAAAATGTAGATGGTACAATGACGCTCGGTATTAAACAAACGTGTCACATAGAAATCTAGAGGCAGAAAATATGCCACGATCTTCATAAGATATGATTTTTTTTCACGTACACAGTTTTTATGCTACATACATACTATTTATTGTTTCTATCCTTAAATAATGTATCGTGACTTTTTCCGGCTTCATGGATATGCTTTTCAAAGGATGGTTTTATTGTTTTTTCACACGTAAATATCCATCGGAGAGTATTTCTGAATGTTGTAGTAGTTGCACCCGTTGCTGTCACCCAAAAGTATGATTTCCGTAACCACACCTCACCACGATAGATAGCACACTTAGCATACCTATGGACACCTTCAGATGGGCAGTAGGGAGATAACGGATAATGTATTGCAGAAGTTCGATGGCCGTCAGGAATGTATACATTTGAATAAGAATTAAGAAACATATTTTGTTATACTTTATACGATTATTTATGTATAACTGCAAAAAGATATGATTGTGATTTCCCAAAGCATCTATTGTAACAAAACACATGAGTATAGGAACGACAGCTATGACCAAATACAAGGGCAATAACAGGTTATAGCTGTAACTTGTAAGAGCATGAAGTTCATCACTGCTCGGACAAAAAAAATGTAATATTTGAAAGTCTCTTGGATATTACCTAGTTAAGTTCACAGAAGAACACATTATTACGAATATTCAATCAAAAGCACTCTTGAAAAGTAAGGAAGTATTACTTAAAAGTTTGAAAATTTGCCTTGCTTGTTTTCATCCTGTGTAATTCGTACACCATCCTGGTTGCAATCAGTTACAGTTTTGCGTCAATGCTCATTCGGTACTGGGTTGCATTTGTAGAATTATAATACGGTATAAGCGTATTTATGTGCATGCTGTCATATTACTCCTATGTAGTTTGGTTCAAGTGGGGATCATCTTCTTTGGGTTTTCTTTTTCTTTTAAGGCTTGCTTGTTTTGTTCTCAGTCTCAAATCTTTTTGTAAATGTGTCATCATCTTACTGTCTATTTCAAGCCTTTGTTTAATTCTATGTGTCATCTTTTTTAGGGGTCCTGTTGTTTAAATTTCCCTCTTTGTATGACAACACATTTTCTATTTTCTTCTCTTAAGCACAGCTTGTCTTGCATTTGTTTTGTTTTTATTTCAGTTCCATGTTGTTTTTGATCATGCAAATCTAACCCATATTGTCACCACAGACACGCTTATTTTTTTTATCAATTCACAGTAGGGCTATTCTTCTTTCTATTAGTATTAGTTTCAGAGTTTGGTTTTGAGTGTTATTTTTAGACTTAGAATTTGATCGCTTCATCAATTTCTCTTTTTGGATTGCTTCATAATGTCGATGTGCATCTTTACGCCAGTAGGACCTACTTCAGTGAAAGTAGAATAGCAGATACACCTCCCAAATACCTTTGATTAAAAAGTATTACAGCTTCTTCCATTTTCAAAAATTAACTTCAAAGTCAGCTCGTTATCTTGAAAGAAAAATCACACGTTCAACAGTCTTGGAAGCACCCCTAATTAATTAAATGCCTCAAATACTCGTAACACTTGAATATATCTGGAAAACAATTTGATAGAGTCAAAAATAGTCCACGAATTAAAAACAATGATTACAAAATCTTGACGAGGATTTCCTCAAAAAGGGCATCCAATCTCTCATGCATCCTTGGAAAAAATGCTCTGATTTTGCAAGTGGCAGCTTAGACATGTAGTCCACTATTAAGGGCATGGCATTTGAAAATTATATTGTGATCAAAATAAAATCTTTAATTCTGTGACCATTTTCACCTTACATTCCGAACAAGCCTTGTATGTCACGCACGTGATGAATTTGATTGATGTCACTTTTGGGTGGTATTGATTCAGATGATCAGAATATTGAGTACATCGAAAGACAGATCACGACGTGATAAATTGTTGGGTGAATTTACAGTTTATATGGGACTTTTGTGATCAATCTCAAACTAGATATAAGAGGGCCAGAATGCTATAGGCTGTACAGGCTATTTAAACATAGTCATTTAACCAGAAGATGAATTGCTCTTACTTAAATAAACTGTTGTAGCCTTTGTACACAAACATGTTTCATTATTCATCAATGTTTACTGACCCCGCTCCTCACTTGGCACTCTCAGACATTATGTTGTTGATGCTTTACCTTTTATACTTGTTTTTTTTATGGATGCTTTGTTTTTGTTTTGTTTTGTTTTTCTGCTTTAGTAAATGGCAAAGGAGGTAAGCACAACTGTTGTTTGGTTCTTTCTGGAACTTTAAATGAAAGGACAATGCATTCAAATATTTGATCGTTTAAGTTAAAAAAGAAGTGACAAGCGTTAAAAAAAACCCTAAAAACCTTTCGCCAAAGATGCTTTCCTCACAAAAAGTTCATTGGTACTAACAATGGCAAATCATACTGTATAATTCTGTCACAAGGTAGTGGAATAAAATTTATATACAGTTTTTACTATTAAAAAAAAGTATCAGCATGTCTGAAGTCAGTTACTATATTTTTCATTTTCATTTGACGCTCATATGGCCTTATGCATTTGCGAGCGCCGTAATACCTCTATGAAATAAAACCCAACTAAAATATTTTTCACCTGAAGAAGTTATGTTGAGTTTGGTTCCTGTGTATACAAAACAGGTTCTATTTTGTCGAAGCATTTTGTTTATTTTTCTATATGATTATGTTTATTTGTCAAATAACGTATTCCGTGTGTGTGCGCGCGCGAGTGTGTGTGTTTGTGTGTGTGTGTGTGTGTGTGTGTGTGTGTGTGTGTGTGTGTGTGTGTGTGTGTGTGTGTTAATGTGATAGATAATATACAGATAGATAGATAGATATGTATTATGGAAAGATAGATAGATGGATAGATAGAAAGATACCGAAGGGACGAATACATGTCTCTCTGTGTCTTCATGTATTCTTTGTATTTTTGTGCGGTCGAGGTCTTTATTAGATGTGTGCGTGTTTAATTGTATGCATTTCCTCGCTCATAGTATCTTTGTCTTTCTCTCTTTCTCTTTCTGTGTACTAAAACGGTTTTTCCAAAAAAAACCTTTGTGTTTCTCTAGTGTCTTTCATTACGTTGCATATGTAGTGAGTAGGGTCGATTGTACCCGCTATAACATTAATCACTACTGTTTTCAGCCGTAGCATCGTTTGCACCTTCAATTTATTCAAAGGGTGAGATATCGTGGGCAGATTAGTGTTATTTTTTTTTTATGGAAAAAAAATTCTTTTAATCGGTTATGCTTTATAGCCAGTCACCCTGTTTATGAAGTCAATATAATCTGCTTGGCTATCGGTTGTTATATTTTTGTTTATGTTTATGTTTATTATAGAAAGCTTCAGGGTAATTTGAATTGTTTCAGAGACTTCAAGCTATATCGTGGCCGCATTATATTTCGAATGGACGCTCTGTGAGGAATAATAACAGTGACTTTTTGAGTAATATTTATGTGTGGAACAATGGAATATTGTCGGCATCTAAGTGCTTGTTTTGTAAAGTGTTTTACGGCGCTCGCAACTGCTTAAGGTCATATGAGCGCGATGGACACACCTAATATTTTCAGTAGGTAGGAAATTTGGAATTTTGCCCGGGTGGCGGCCGAAGCCTACTCTTATCGATTTTAGACCACCAAGGGATCTTTAACGTGCGCACCTTGCACACGGGCCCTCCGAGATTTTTCGCCCTTGTCCGAGAAGGCTAGGTGTAGATCTTTCCTACCAGAAGTTCGCTCTCTAAGCGCTATACATTGCACTGATAATGGCCTTTCTACATCATCATAGGAAATAAATAATCCTGTCATGCGTATCACGGACACAGACACACGTTGGTGAAACAGTTTAGTTGAGTGACTCACAGAGCTTTACGTGTTGCGTCTGTTAGCGTAGTTTGTTTTAGTGAGAGTTTTATGGCACTTGCAACACAATTAAGTCATTATAAGGGTCAAAGATTAGAGGTATTACAAGAAAGTAAATAACGCACGAACGCACACACACACACACACATACACACACACACAATCACACACACACACACATACACACAGAGACAGAGAGAGAGAGAGAAAGAGAGAGAGAGAGAAAGAGAGAGAGAGAGAGAGAGAGAGAGAGAGAGAGAGAGAGAGAGAGAGAGAGAGAGTGAGGACTGATAAAGACGATAGATGTTTTGTAGGAAAAAAGAGCAGACCACACCAGAGTACCCTCCAACCCTACACGGCGAAGTTTGTCTGGTAGCAGTTCGCATCCATTCTAGCTATCATTGAAATAAGGCTTTCTTAATCATTTTCGGCAAGAACCTGTTCAATTTAATATTAGTTTGAGTAAACTTACTGAGCGAAGGTCCGATTTTTCCCCATAAAATATTTCTCACTAAATCGAGTAGTTTTTGTTCGAAGGTACAGCATTGACTGGGGTACCGTAGCGAAGTTTTTATAGAGAGCAAAAGAGGGGAAGACATGATAGTGTGCAGTCTAGATATTAATTTTAGTGCAAGTATTTTTGATATACAGAGTGCATTGTTTGCCGAGAGTGGTTCCATTTTGTTGGACGAACCCATACATGTATTGTGGCTTTTAAGCACAAGGGGGCTATCCCCAAAAATGCTGTTTTGAGAAAACAGAAGGTGAAGTTTTTGGACCCTTGTTCAGTTTCTTTAAAAGACAAGGGGAGTTTTCTCTATAACCAAACAAATATAGGCCTAGATCTAAATACCAATAAAACCAAACTTCTCCTATAGGTAGGGCAATGCGCACTTTTGGTTTAAGTCAAGATTTCTGGAAAACCCCGAAATCTGGGTTTGCCCGCTTGTCCTTAAAAGCGACCATTTGTATTATGATATTGAAGCCTGGGCACTCCTAACGTAATCACAGTTTTCTATGGAGTGGGCCATTTGGCTCTATTTGGAAGAAGGCGAAGGGCAAGGAGGGAAATAGTGCACGAGCACTCGACTAAAGCTGAAGCGAGACTAGCGTTTTGGCCTTCATTTGCACGCCCAAGGTGGCGCAGCAAATTTTTAAAATTTTTTAAAAATTATTTATTTAGCCTATTTTTTAAAGAGAAAACATCCAATGGTGGCCTTGGCAGTCCCCCAGCCTAGGCTATTAGATTCAAGTCCATAGGAGAGAGCAAAGATCACGACATTCTTTTTCAAATCCAGAAACGCGCAGTTATCTCTCTGATGTTACTGAAAAAAGAAAGCGTGTTGTCTTTCCTTTTCACTTTCCACTCATATTATGTGTGCACACATATTATATCGTAGAAAGAAGAAAAAACTGACGAATATGATGTACATATTATTGTTATATGTGATTGATGTGTGTTTTTGTTGTAGGTAGCAAGCGTCGTAGCGGTAGGTGACCTATAACCAGCCTCATAATTTGCAGATGCCATTATTCACAAATCAGTCTATTTATACTGTGTTCCACTTTCCACACTCTAGCCTCTCTGCATAATATTGTGTCACATGACAACACGGTGGAATAAGGTGCTCGTCAATTTTGGGGTACATTGGAGTTATTGGTGTAACCTTAAAGCTTGCTCATGTGTCTTGCTTTTGACCCAC